CTGCTGCTATGGTTAAGGGTGTATGTTATCCGTTTTCCCTTAAGGAAAACGGTTGGGTGGGCGCGATAAGATAAATGGAAAATATTTTATTTACGATAGATTTCTATAGGAAATAAAATAGTAAGATCTTATTAACCTACATTCATTAATGGATATTCCTGATGATGACATAATTAATGTTGAAACATTGAATACCAACACGATGGCATGCATTTCAATACTTGGAGTATGTATTATACTTTCTTAACTGAGATTAATCAGTGGACCTTTTGATTATTGGATATGACATTTTACCTTCAAATTATTATTATTAAAGGGAACTATTTCATTGAAAATAATTGTTAATGGAAGTTAGGACAAGTCCTTTTAGAAACTTTAGAATACTAAATATTAGACAAATACCATAAAAATACCAGAAATAAAGTAAATGTAAATGTTTTATTGTAGTAAAGTGTACTATGTAATGGAGCATTTAGTTTTGTTAATAAATGAATACCCTGTTTAATAAAATATTGTTTTAATTAGCTTGTAATCATTATTATAAAAATGAGTTCTATAGAAATATACTGGTTTTACTAAAATTTAATCAAAACATAGAAAGATAAAAGAAAAAGATCTTATTAACCTACATTCATTAATGGATATGACTTTTTACATTCAATTATTATTATTAAAGGGAATATTTAATTGAAAATAATTTTAAATGGAAGTCAGGACAAGCCCTTTTAGAAATTTAAATAAATTTAGAATTACAAAAATATATTTACCAAAAAAAAATTAAATTTTAAGCACAGTGATTATTTACCTACCTGTATTATGCATGTTTTCAGAAGAGATGAATGAATTAAAGGTGTATAATACTAATAGCAAGTTACAGTGTAAACTATCCTATTGTAAAGCTAGATAAAAGCAAGCCACATTTTTTGTATCATGAATAAATCATTGTTTGAGAATGTTAAACAAAAAGGAATAAATATTTTCGAAATTAAAATAGAAAAGATACATATGATGAATTTAACACGATATTATGTTCAACATTATTTGCTACGCTAGAAATGATTACACATATAGCAGAATTCAAATGTAGACTACGTGAATAAAAAATAATTTAAGTCCGAAAATATTCAAATAATATTTTGAAATATTATTTCGTTCCCTAGAAATAGTTCAATATTTTTTCTAACGATGTCCCTCTAGGGGATCCGTATAATTAAGTTACAAACAGATTAAAATCTAAATATGATAAAAATAACATGTATTACATTAATATAAAAAAATATTAGCAATTATTAACAGAATAAATTATATTAATACATATAGGCCTATGAAAAATACTATATTATAATAATTATTATTAATGTTATTAAACGATTAAGTTATAAAAACCGTAATGGATAATCCTGTCAAATGAATATTGTATGTTAAAAATACGAACCGGATTTCACGTATAATTTATATGAACATGAATACAAAAATGAATTATGTCCAAAAATATTCAAATGACGTAAGAAACATATGAAACGAATAAATGATAAAATAACACGTACTACATTAATAAAACAAAAACATCATTAGCAATTATTAACAGAATAAATCATTACTAATACATATATGAAAAACACTGTATTATGTACTATAATCATATGAATAAACAAGCTATAAAATCATTAAAAATGATTTTGACAAATAAATACTATTTGTTAAAAATACGAAAGGTTTCAACATTATTTACACATTTTTGGGTAATTCCCTACCATTTAGGCAATTCGTCAGACCCCATGCAGACTTTGTATTAACGTCCATTATTCAGCTTCTTAAGAGTGATTTAATCAAAGAATCTAGTATTCCGCCTGAGATAATAATAATTTTTCCTGATCATACCAGTTTCCCCGGGTTCTCCTCGGGATCTTATTAATCTACATTCATTAATGAATGACTTTTTACATTCACATTATAAGGGAACTATTTAATTGAAAGTAATTTTTAATGGAAGTCAGGACAAAAGCCCTTTTAGAAATGTAAATAAATTTAGAATACAAAATATTAGACAAAAACTATAAAATACCAGAAATTTAGTAAATATTTTATGTGAACTCTATTAGGAGTATTTAATTTTGCTAATAAATGAATAACCTGTTCAATAATATATTCCGTTTTAATTAGATTGTATTCACTATTAATTATAGAAATATACTGGTTTTACTCCAATTCAATCAAAACAGACAAAAAGATAAAATAGTAAGATCTTATTAACCTACTTTCATAAATGGATATGATTTTTTACATTAAAATTATTATCCTTAAAGGTTATTATTATTAAAGGGAACTATTTAATTGAAAATATACTTTATAGGAAGCAGGGACAAGTCCTTTAAGAAATTTAAATAAATTTAGAATACAGAAATATTAGACAAATACTATAAAAATAAAAAAACATTATTAAATGTATTAAAACAATATAGAGGGCGCTGCACGGTAGCGTCGGCCAGAGCCATAGATAGAAAGAGTTGCGACATTGAGAATTTAGAAGCCATTTTGTGTCCAACGCGATGCGCCTTCTGTGTCTAACGTGATGTGCGTTCCTATGTATATAGTAGAGTGCCTTAACGTCAAAAAAAATATATCAAAAACACAGAAAGCTCTTTTGAAGCTCTGAGCCCATTGTTAAGCAAAGGGTGTAGTCTATGTATAGCGAACGCTTCTATAAACAATAGGATAGACCAGTATCGGGAGCTGTCAATAATGTTAGTACTAGAAAACAAATGTTACTCTCATTATTCTGTAGTAATTAAGGAATAACTTAATGTACAAAAAAAAAAGAAAAGAAAAAAAAAAATTAGAGAATTCAATTACAGAATATAAAGTAAATAAATAAAATGACACAAAATATTAGTTTATAAGTACAGTAAATAACATAAAAATTAAATATTGGTGGTAATGTTTTTCATTAGTTCAGTTCTTTCAGTCATTGCTTTTGTTAAATATGTTTTACAATGGTTATCAAATATGTTACAAATTTCAATATTCTGGTATGCATCAAAAATATTCTCTAAAAGTAAGTGGTGCCTAAATTCACATGAACCTTCTAAGAAAATGTCCCAAAAGTAGCTATTAATTTTACACAAGTCAGTTTTTAAATTTTCAAAACATGCATTTCTTATAGAGGATAGACCTTCACAATCAAATAGAAAATGGTCGACCATTTCTAATTCTCTTTTTTTGCAAATAATACAATCCCAACACGATGGCGTGCATTTCAATACTTGGAGTATGTATTATACTTTCTTAATTATTTTTCCAAACGCATCTAGTCGAATGAGAAAATGAAAATAAATTTGATGAACGTAAACAGTGTAATAATGCAATTGATAAATGCTTTAAATTTATATAATTAAGGAAGAAAATAGTTAAAAGGAAATGGAGTGATGATGCAAAAGAAGATTTGAAAAACATGCTGGAAAATACAGATTGGGGTAGCTTTGAAAGTGACCATTCCTTTTGTGAATCTGTGGAAGCAATCTCTAGCTACATAAATTTTTGTGTTGATATCACAATTCCAAAATATACAATTAAAATTTTTCCTAACAACAAACCATGGTGTTCAAGGAGACTCAAACTTTTACTTAAGGAAGAAAGTACTGCATGTGCAAAAAAAAAATATCGATACCTGGTTAAAAAGAAGAAGAAAGAGATTGACAAAGAGATTTCAAAATGTAAACAAGATTACAAGTCCAAGCTGAGTCTACCTTCAGGAGGAATGATTCCAGACATACATGGCAAATACTGCAGGACATTACTGGTTACAAATCAAAAAAGAAACAATAAATAAAAAAAATAAAGAAGCAATAATAATAATAATAAAGAAGCAATAATAATAATAATAAAGAAGCAATAATAATAATAATAATAACAATAATAATAATAATAATAATAATAATAATAATAAAGAAGCAATAGTACAGTAAATACGGCCACTGAAACATCAGTCTGTATCATGGAGTTTATTTACCGGTTTAAAATCACCTAAACTACTGTATAAACCAAGCATGTTTTTAATTTATTTTGTTTCTTTGAAATTCATGTACAGTGTATGTACATGTTATGTCATGCTATCTTGAAAAGAAGCCCATATTCGAGGCTACTTTTGCAAACTAAAAAAGGGAGCTTCAATTTGAGATGGGCTCCGTCTCGATATTAAGCACATTAGGCTTCAATTCGAGGTTTTACGGTAGCTTTATAATTGTATATATGTTAGATCTTCTATTACTTGTTTCCAAATGAAACTCCCACTATACAAATATTTTATTAAAACATCAACCAATTTAAGGCCATTTAGGTGAAAATACAGTAATATGTTCAAAATATATCAACCAAGTTAAAAAGTAAACTTAGTATAAACCAATCCAGGTTGCTCGACAATAGGATATTTAAGACTTTTTTTTTTCATTTCTATTTTAAGAGAAAAATATATGGTCATGTTAAAGTCAGACAGCATTTTAGCTTCACCAAATGATTCATAATTAAAATTGTTGGTCTCATTTTAAAATGTTGACAGAATGGCCAGCAAGGCCAATCAAAAATAAACATGAATATAAAAAGCTTTATTAAAATTAACACAATACAGTGATGATGAAAATATTTGTATTATTACAGTGCTGAATCATAAAAACGTAATAGTTTTATTTTTATTTTGCTTTATATAAGCTAAATTCTTTTAAAATTCAAGAAATAGCAAGTTTTAGTAAACAAAAATAATAATACCAGTTAATACATGACAATCGGTTTAATACAGTGTAGCAAGATGTATTAACCAAGATTGAAAATAAAAACGTAAGTAAACTCACCAAATAATCCAACATCAGGAGGATACTTAAGAATTCCTTTAGATTTTCCTTTAAAAGGTTCAGAGAATGACCATGTTGGTAAACTTCTTTTCCCTAATTACAAAGGTGGTAAAGTTGATGCAAGTTAGACAGCTTTTTCATCAAATAATTAGTACTTCATATCATATTTGTCCTATCATTATTACAATGGAACAACAGCAAACGAATGCAAATAAAATAAGAATACAAATACTAATTAATATCATTACTTCCACAATGTTGTGACAATGAAAATATTTTGTATTGCTACAGTACTGAATCATCGAAAACTAATAATTTGATATAATTTGATTTCTTTGGCTTTATATACAAGATAAACTCTTCTAAATATCAAAAGACAATATGTTTCGAAAAAAACCCAATTTCTATCAGTTGAATATTATCATTATTTCCACAATGCATTATCAATGAAATTATTTTGTACAGAATTGAATCATAGAAAAATAATAGTTTTATATAATCAGATTTATCTGGCTTCATATACAGGATAAACTCTTCTAACAATCAAGAAATAATATGTTTAGGAAAAACCCCAGTTTAATATTTCCAAAAATAATATATAAAAAAATGTACTAACTAAGTTAATTAAATTAAAACATAGTAAATTCACCATATAATCCAACATCATTGTTTTTAGAATTATATTTAGGAAGTAACTTAGATTTTTCTTTGAAAGAGTGACTCAATTATCAATCCTCTTTTTCCTATGAAAAAAAAATATATGGAAAAGTTGATGCAAGTGAGACAGCTTTTTTCATCATTATGATAGCGTACGTTGCGCGACTTTACGTTTACACGCAACAATTAGAAGCGTCCGATTTACAATGCGCCCTCTCTTTAGGATATAAGGAACAAAAGTAACATACTTGGTAACAAACTTTTGTGTAAATCGAACACCCTATCTCAGATCCATGGCAATGACTAGAACGCCCTCTTTCAAAACTGATTACTTTTCTGTGCCAAATCGACGCTTCTATTTGTTAAGCGTAAAATCAGAGAGAAAGCTATCTTGTGTTTATAAGATCTTTCATTAGGAGGCTAGGGAGGGGAGTGTTTTATTTGTGAGAACAATCTTGTTACTGTGGCAGGAATTGAATCAAATAAAAATATGAATAATGTATAAAAGATAATTTCTATCATTATTCCCAAAATACAGTGACAATGAAATTACTTTGTATTGTTACAGTTTTTAAATTTATATATAGAAGATAAACTCTTCTAAAAATCAAGAGGTAACAAGAAAAAAAAAAAAAAACTCCCACAAATACCAATTAAATAAATAGATGTCAATCTCAAAATGTATCAACTAAGTTAATAGAAAATAAAAAATCCCCAAAAAATACATCTTCAGAAGATATTACATCAGATTGACCTTTGGAAATTGATATAAAAAAAATATGTGGTAAACATGTTGCAGCTTTTTTCATCATATGAATGGTAATTCATATCATATTTTTATCTCATTAATAAAGCAGCAAGCAAAGCGCAGTCAAATAAGAATATGAACATATAAAATTATAAATTTCCAAAATGAAGTGACAGTGAAATTATTTTGTATTGCTACAGTAGTACATTGTTGTTAATAATATTTGGCTTTACAAATCATATAGTAGCCTACAAGATGAAACATTTTCCTAAATCTTCTAAAAAAAAACCCCACAAAATGAATTAAATAAATAGATGTCAATCAGTTTAATTATACTGCAAAATATAATATGGTATATCAAAAAATAAAAATTAAACATAAACCCTTCATAATCTTCCTTTCTCTATTTAAAAACAAAATACCAATGCAGTGACAATAAAATCACTTTACATTGCTACAGTGTCGAATAATAGAAAAATAATAGTTTGATATAATTTGAATTAATTTATTTGACTTTACAAATCATATAGTAGCCTACAAGATGAAACATTTTCCTAACTCTTCTAAAAAACATGAGATAACAAAGATAACAAAAAACCCCACAAAATTAATTAAGTAAATAGATGTCAATCAGTTTAATTATACTGCAAAATATAATAATATTATTATGTTAATAACATATTATGTTATATCAACAAATAAAAGTTAAACATAAACTCTTTATAATCTTCCTTTCTCTATTTGAAAACCAAAAACCAATGCAGTGACAATGAAATCGCTTTGCATTGCTACAGTGTTGAATAATAGATTTATCGATTAAAAAAAATGGTAAAGTTAGACAGCTTTTTTTTTTATCATATGACTGGTAATTCATATCATATTTTTGTCTCATCAAAGCCAAATTAAATAAGACTATAAATTACCAAAAAGATAATTAAAGATAATTAATATCATTATTTCCACAATGCAGTGACAATGAAATTAGTTTGTATTGCTACACTATTGAATCATACAAAAATATTAGTATGAAACAATTTGATTTGATTTATTTGGCTTTACATACAAACTCTTCTGAAGACCTAGAGATAACAAGTTTCGGAAAAAAAAAATTCACAAAATCAATCAAATAAAGATGTCAATCAGATAATTATATTGCCAAATATAATATGTTCAAAATGTATCAACCAAGTTAATTGAAAATTAAACATAAACTCGCCAAATAATTCAACATCAAGGTCTTCAGAAGGATACTTAGGCACTAACTTAGATTTTCCCTTAAAAGTTTTGGAAAATGACTTTCTTGATAATCTTCCTTTCTCTTTAAAAGCAAAATACCAATGCAGTGACAATGAAATCACTTTGCATTGCTACAGTGTTAAATAATAGTTTGATATAATTTGAATTAATTTATTTGACTTTATATACAAGATAACTCTCTAAAAATCTATAAATAATAAGTTTCGGGAAAATAACGCACAAATACCAAAATAAATAAAGGTTAAAGAGTTTGATATTGCCAAATATAATGTTTAAATTGTATCAACCAAGTTCATAATGAAAATAACAGCATAAATTCACCATATAATGCAACATCAAGATCTTTAAAAGGAATTAATTCAGATTTACTTGTAAAAATTGATATTAAAAAAATGTGGTATTATAGTTGTTGCAATTTAGACAGCTTTTTTCATCAAATATCTCATAATTCATATTCTATTTTTTGTCTCAAACAGTGGCAAGCAAAGCCAATTAAATAAAAATATACAATATAAATATGAATACTACTAATAAAATTATAAATTTCCATAATGCAGTGATGATGAAATTATTTTGTATTGCTACAGTACTTTGTTCATAATAACAGTTTGATTTTATTTTGATTTGATTTATTTGGCTTTACAAATCATACAGTAGCCTACAAGATAAAACATTTTCCTTAAAATCAAGATCACAAGCAGTAACAAATTAAGGGTGGGTTGAAACATTTTAAGGGTAGTTTATTGCAAACCCAGCTGTATCAATGGGTACCAGCAGACTGCTGGGGACTAACCTGCGATGCACTAGTGTCCCCTCCAGTGGCAGTACAGCTCTCATCCGCTTCACAATACAGAAACTGGGGATAAGCTCCACAACTATGAGCCGTAGTGGCTTGGAAAGGATTTAGTATATAAATGTGGAGGTCATAAAAAAAAAAAAAAAAACCATTTGGGAGCCACTTAAGAATGTACAACTTTAGTGGAAACACAGTGACCAGAAGCAGTTGAACATGATATTTTTGCAATTGACTCTACTCGGCTGTACAAATACCAGAAAAAAAAATTTAAGTACAATATGTAGGGCATGAGGCCAAGGAAATGAAATGCCTAGAATAAGATCTGGATTTCCTGAAGCTAACACTTGCTCTTATGCACTGGTTAACGTGGAATAAGTGGTTAATAAGGAGAGCTGGTTTTGGAGACTCGTGCTGTACTGACCATCACATATGTAACATGTGTTCTGCAAAAAATTAAAAATATTAAATTTCTGAGATAGATTACACCTGCTAACCATGAATGATAGATCCCACAGTTATTTAATACTATAGATTTTTAGAATATGTTGAGAATAATGCTGCTTCAGTAAGTTTTGTATACTCATTTGTGAGGAGACAATACATGAGAAAAAATATACATCCTCGGTCATTTACTAAAGGAGACAGTGTTCTAACACCTATGAACACTTACTGGCTAAAAACCAGGGGCCTTAATGTAAAAAAGCCCAAGATGATAATCCATGGGATAATGTCCATGGGTAACAAATTGGCTGACACATTTACACAAACTCCACTGTCATACTTATCCTCAGCCCCATGTTAGTAGGGCCTAGAGAAGCCTTAGCCAGGAAAAGCAGTTCTCTTTATTACAGATAAATATCTTCTGGAGGGGGTAGTGGATGGCACATCTGATGTGACACTTTTTTGTCTCTATTATAGACCAATGGTCATTTTATTGGGTGCATTTTGAAACAGAGCCACAAAAATCTCACAAAACACTGGGGAACTTCCTGCGGCCTAATCCTACCTGAGCAGCTAGCTATTGTCAAATAGAGCGCCACGTGCACACTGGTAACTACGTATTTCGAAGTGCGTAGGCCTCTGGAAGTCCCCCATTCTATGGTCTATAGGTGAAAATTAAAAGGGTAGTGTTTGTTTGATTTATTCTTTTACTGCTCTCGCAACAGCAAGTTGAAAAGATGTATATAGCTACGAAGCAAAGAAACCAAAATTAATTATTTGAATATTTTTATTATAGTAATTCCCAAAATTTACAGCATTCATTTTGAAGAGAACCCCCCCCCCACCACTTTACTTTGCAAAAGTAGCCTTGAAAAATAAGATCATCTCGAAAAGAAGCCCATCCAAGGTTTGATGTTTTACAGTGTTTTATCATGTAATACGCAGACGCACATAAATGTGTCTTCCTTCTATTACAGACAGTTTATATATTGAGCAAACTTGGAAAGGTTCTATTGATTATCCTATGAACAATAAATATGTTGAAGTTACAGCCAATGCCACTAGTTTAATTTGTATAGTAAATCTAGTAGTAATACACATTTCTATATTGTATCATACAATAAGTCAAAATTTAATTCCCTGAATAGCAGACAAATAGTATCATCTAGTCAAGACTGGTGTAAGTAAAGAAACTGACAGGTACGGGACTGCACAGTGAAATAAGGCTACCACTCTTGTTATTGTCAGAGATCTTTTTTTTTTCTTATTCTACATTTCTCCTAATTTTTTATTTGCATGATATCTCAAAATTGCCACAAGCTACGCACATGGCAGCTGCAATGAACACCACTGACTAGGTTGTTTGTCATCACTTCAAGATGTCTACCGATTCATGGAAAAGGCGTATTAAAATAAAAAATATTGGCGTTTGTGAGCAATACATTTTAATTTTATATAGGTAAGTAGTAAGTATATGAATAATTTTAATGCACTTGTTAGTTAGTAACTTATTCTAATTTGTTTTTGGTCTTTTTTCTGCATTTTTATAAGACATGGCCTAGGCCCGGGCCTAGGCTAGCCTATGTGATATTCATTGTAATACTACAAAACAAAATAACATCAATTTAAAATCAAATTTCTGAACATACTTGCCTTATATTTTAACTAGCAGGTGGTTTTATTGGTAGATTAGTTTGTTTTAAAGTGTGTAAGTATGATTGATTTGCATGCCAAATGAAATTAGTACCCTTATTTTGCTTTGTTTTACCGTAGTGTAATTCTCACCTAGGTGATACACCGTGTGGCTAAGGAAGTTTTGTTTTTTTAACATGTGCAGATTGTGCTTATCTGGCTCATTAAACAATACCACACATAAGGCTAATTAAAGTTAGATTGCTTATCAGCTAGTCTCCTATCCTGGTAACAGTTAGAAGTCCTTGATTTTACACTATCCTCCACGATTAAATGCGGTACAGGCGCAAATTATTATATTGGGTTTTTTGGAAGAGCTAATAAGATAGGAATTTTTAAATAAACAGAATGCTTATTTGTACAAAAAAAAAACATTATTAAAGAATTAAAGATACATAAAATTGGAAAAAAATATATTGAATACCTATACGCAATTCCAACCCACAACCTTACGTTATTTAGAACACATGCTTAACCGACCTCGCCATTCATGTGACATGCTTTATTAGTGGTAATGGCAATAATGTACAGTAATGTTTAAATAGTTTATTTGAAAAAAAAAAAAAACATTACTTAGAATGATCATCTGTATAAAATCAAAATACTTAAAATTGAAAATTTGTTGGAAATCTCCTCTAGATATGATCTTACAGATCTTTATGATTGATTGGACATTATTTTACCATAATTCATACTTTCAAGGGCCTAAAGATTTCTTTTACCTGAGAAGCGGATCACCTAACTCGTCCTTAGTGACGGGTTCATATCTAGTTTAGTTTGTAGTTGATTTTAAGTGTTAATTTGATTGGTGGGTGCAAAAATGTAGTTTGAGTAATGTGCAAATCTTTTTTATAGTTAAGAATTTCATTTTATTGTTGCTTACTTTTTGTTCCTTTTTGGATGCACCGTTAGGTTTTGTCTAACATGTGCCACTGTTATGAAAGTGTAATCCAATAAATATTGTATTGTATTGTATAGAGGATGAGGGAAAATTACAGGACCAACACCTAGTTTTAAAACTTGTTTATTTAATGAGGACAGAGAGCGAGACTGCCAATGCTCCCCAAATTAAAAAGAAGATTGATGGATCACATGCTTATCAATCAACGATGATGATAATCTCACACATTAGTAGGCCAAGCACACAGAGCACAACATTTCAGCCTCTGTATAGTGCAATATAGGCCTTGAGTGGAAGTATTGTAGGCCTATAGTCCTAGGCTAACGTGATACAGTGCTAGTATACTTTATAGCTAAGCCTTGACTCTAGGCATAGGACCACTACACACTTGCCTAGTAGTTGATAATGATAATGTGTTTGTTGTTACTCGTTTGTGTAGGCAACATTCATCAATCTAGGTTCTCTTCGAGAAGGTCAATGCCTGTTCGTCTACATTGCACAGTAATAGATCTACTAAATTTTGTGGACTGATCATCCCACACAAGGCGGAAACATACTCGCGAATTTTTTCATCAGAGCGATTACTGTATGTGTGTCATTGCGGGCTTCCTATGTTCTGATTGGCTAAAAGAAATCTATATTGCTTATGTGTACTGCAGAAAAAAAATATGCTGTCTGTTCAGGGAAAAATAACCCTTTTTACATGATTTTGGTCACACACATGCATCCCAGAGCAACATTTGTTCTCTTCTACTACTGCAACACCACCAATATAATATTATTAAAATAACTAAACTCACTTTTACTTGTTCCCACTACCTGTGTCTTCTGTTCATCACTTGATACTTTTGTGGATGTTTCTTCGAAAGTGGCAGGGGATGGCACATCAGGTGTCACACTTTTTGTCTCCTCTTTTTACATGAACAAAGAATGATTAATAATTTAATTTCTTAAGTCTAATACTAATATTTTTTCTTTAATATTAAAATTCATACTACTCTATTGTTGCTGGTAAAAATGTTTGCATCACAGACCAATTTTAGGAAGCCATTTACCAGCATTAACTTATTATTGAATTCTTTTTTGCATTCAATGTCATCTTTATCTTATTTTATTTTATGTTACTATTAGGTAATATAATTATCATGCAATAATAAATACAGCTCTCAATAGAGTGCTGCTCAGTAAGTCCACTTTATTACCATTATTTTTTTTAACTGTCTGTTTACCATTCAAGTCTGAGAAAATGCATAGAAATTACTTTAGGAGTGACATTTTAGAAGCAGATTATCCATGCAGGAATCATAAAGGATTAGGCAAGCCTCTAGCTGGCATTGATTGGGTGTTTGAATATTTGAGACTTTCAACATCTGCAATTGGGGTTTATTATTAAGGGCTCTTGTTGATTATTACAAAATTTAATTTATAACCAGTGTAAAATTTATAGGACTAGATTTTTTTCTTGATGTACTCTTTTACAAATTTTTAGGACTGGGGTTGTGTGTGTATTGATAATTTTCAGGCACCCTCTTAAAAATAATTTAACTATCTGTGAGGTGGATGACAGTTAATATGTATTCATAAAGTTCACCAAATGAATATTAGTAGTATACCAGGGAGATAATCTACATAGTTTGCAAGCAATTATATCTGGGTTTCAGAGACTCAAATTACATCAAATCTGTATACAAAATATGTACTAAATATCCTTAACAAATTTTTTTATTTTTTATTTTATTGTTTGATCTGTCTGCATTAGCAACAAAGAATGCGAGTCACTGATTGGTCAGAATATTTTTTGTCTCATGACAGTATTTGGAGATTGATGGTAAACCAGGCAACAGATTCTATTAGTATTGACTGCTGTGATTACAAGCAGTAGTCAAGCATAATGCATGACTTAATATAGTGGTTATTATACCAGAAATGTAAGAAAAGATCAAACTATCAATAAATAAATACAACAAACTTGATTTTATCAAGAAAAATATATATTATCACTTTGTAAAACATACGTAATCAGACTTTTTTTTATGGTAATTAATTGATCGGTGATGACATCATCGGGGCAAAGGCCATTCGTAAAATTGACTATTCATAAAATTGACGTTCGTGAAATGGACGTTTTACTGTACATCCTGCAAAGCACCTCATGATCCATAACTTAACAGGGGTTGTACGGTCCAGTTCACTGGGGTAACCAGCTACTTGTCTCGAAAGATGTACTGAGTTCTTTAGTGCACATGAGCCAATTGTGTACACTGGGCCTGTGGTTTATAGTCCTTATCTGCAAAGACTTTTTTCAACACCAGAACCAGCGCCGACATTATGGCTGTAAATTGCATCGCCCCTGCCTTAATCACTTGATCATTCAATCTATATCTTTCTTTTGGTTTTTTTAAACATTCACCTCACACACATGTTTTATTTTTTTTATTGCAGCTTTAGTTTAGATAACAGTAAGTTAAATTGATTTTTAAAATCTTCCATTGTCTAAAAAAAAATAATTAAAAATATGAGATACTGAAAATAGGATTTTCTATTCATTATATATTTCTTGTCTATAAGTCAAAATTGAAGGAAAGTACAGCTCATGGGAAGAATGATTAAGAACTTACCTTTCACCAGAAGCTGTGCTGTACATGTAACTTCACCCAGATGGTTAACTGCTTTGCATGTGTAATAACCTTCATCTTCCTGTATACATTCTTGAATATGTAATTCACAAATGCCTTCCTCTGTATGTTTGACAGTATATGCTGTCACATCTGTAATCTCAATGTTATCAAAATACCATGTAACCTGTGGTGGAGATCCAAACATAAATTACATTTGTGAATTTCAGAGAATGGAAATGTACTATTATGGCACTAAACAGTGTTATAATATTTTATTAATAATAACATTTGAAATGGCAATAATGTAGTTATTGTAAATGATAACACCAGTCAGTTATGATGCAGCTGTGCACAAGTTAATAATTAGAGATTAAAATAACAGCTCAGATTTGTGTTGAGACAAAAAAATTTTCATAACTAATTTTATTTAATAATTAGAAATAGTGATGATAATGATAATCAACAAAATGTTAATGAGTGATTTAATTTTTCTTTAACAGTGATGTCAACATTTCTGCTAAAGTCATGGATCATGCAATTTAGAACAATGTTGCCTTCTATTGTTAAATGATTTTCATTGTACTGCTATAAACCTTGAAATAAAAAAACAAAACAAACAAATGATGCTGTGAATTATTGGTCATTTTCCTACAGTACCTTCACCTATTACCAACAGTCTATGTGATATTATTATCACATTATAAAAGAGGTGTTACCTGGGGTCTAGGTATGCCAGCAACTGCACACTGAAGAATTTCTGTAGATTCTCCATCTACAGCAATCGACTTTGTTTTAAGTTCCTTAGTGAAGTATGGAGCACATTCTTCTACTTCTGGGATTACTGACAGTTCAGAGACCTCTGATATTGGGGCTTTTTCGTCCTGTTACATAAAAAATGAAGTTTCCAACTTAATATCTGACAAGTTAAAGTAGGACCTCATTCAAAATAAGTTTTACTTTTAAGAAAATTTTCATGGGTAATACTTACATCATATTTTGTTGCTATTTGTTTGTCCTGTCATGTGCGATTTTTTTTGTTTTGTGAATACTTTGATGATGTGAAATAAACTGAACTGAACAGCAAGGTAAATAATTCCTCTGCTGTGTAGTTTTATCTTAGCAAGAGATGTTTGAAAAGATTGATTTCTATATATTCTGTTCGTTGGTGATACAGTGACTCAACTCAATTACGGAATGTGTGATGTTTCTCTTAACATTTAAAAAAAACTATGATTCAAGCAGGCTTTAATACACCAATAACAATAATAATAATATTTATATTAAATTTAACATAATATAAAAATATAATGATTATTTTATTATGTAAAAATAAACTTTCAATTAATATGTAATTTCATGTTTATTTCATTAATTAAATTTTTAATTCATACAAGGAAAACTGAAATTAAAATATTTAAAAACATAGGTATATTATATCAATAATAATAGTAAAAATATAAATGACTTTTATTATGCAAACAAACCTTCAATTAATATTAATAAATGTAATTTTATGTTTATTTCATTAATTAAATTTTTTTAATTCATAAAAGGGAAATTGCAATTAATATATTAAAAAACATTTCATACTAGGTATATTTTTATCATCTTTCTTCCTTTCTATATCTTTAATGTAATAAAAATATTTTATATAAATTGATTGCTCACTTCCTGTTTTAGTTATTAATAATATAGTCTCAATATTATAATTGTGCCTAGGTACTCAAATCACCTTACAACTTTTTGCTAGTAAGACCCACTGACGAGCTAGCTAAAGACAGTTCTGATGACGAATACTGTCACAATTTAATTGTGCTTCAATTTAATTAATAATGTATTAGTTGTTTGTGTGATAAATTGTGTGAATCCCAAAAGATCAGCATGGTTTATAAAATAATAAAATAAATCATACAATCTGTCAGTCTTACTATTTTCAAATTATTATAATGTCTTTTTTTGTTGTTGAAACACATTACTTGTTTTAATCCTTTTTGGCACTGTGCAAAATGCATGAGATAGATTTACCTGTAAATGGAATTCTGGTTGTAATTTTGGTGGCCGGGTCTCAACTGGTGTTTCAGTAATTTCAGCAACAGAAAACAGTAAAGAAATGAAAAACAAACAAAAATTGATTCTGATTTATTCTACTAATTCTGATTTAAAACTAATAACTATTTTATTAAAATATCAACAATATTTATTCTTTAATTTGTCAATAATACCATAAATTTAATTATCATTATGTATTGTTAATACCATAAATGTAATTATCATTATGTATTGTTTTTCTTGTAGATTACAAACTGTAATAAAATCAATCATTAGTACTGACCAAAAAGAATACATAAAGAACAGATTTATAGGTGAGAATATACTGTAAGGCTTGTAGAAGATATTATGCACTATTGTAAAGAAGATTACAAGGAAGGTGTTCTTCTCTCCTTAGATTTTCACAAAGCCTTTGATTCTGTTGACAGAAACTTCATGGTAGCTGTTTTAAGACATGCTGGTTTTGGTGAATCTGACTCTGAATGTGTTATTAGTAATAATGGATGGATTTTCAGTATTTTCAAAATGTATAGAGGCATAAGGCAGGGTTGTCCTTTATCTGCCCTTTTATTTATAATAGTTGTTGAGATTATGGCTACAAACATTAGAAATGATGAAATTTTTCAAGGTATTATTCTTCCAACAGATAAAAATATACAGGCGAAAATATCACAACTTGCAGATGACACAATTATCTTTGCAAAAAAAGATAGCATAGAAAGAGCCTTACACCTTGTTGATATTTTTTGTAAACACTCCAATATGAAGCTTAATATTAATAATACTAAGGCAATGTGGTTGGGATCTTTGAGAAATAATGTTGATAAACCTTTTAACTTAGATTGGGTAAAAGAATTGAATTCACTTGGAATTTACATTGGTTATGACAAAGCAAATTGTGCAGTACGCAATTGGGCGCAAAGGATGGTTAATTTGGAAAAAGTGTTAAAGCAATGGAAAACAAGAAACCTTACAGTATTTGGAAAAGTAACAATCATAAAAATGTTAGGACTTTCGAAAATAATCTATAATGCAAGTGTGATTGAAACTCCTGATTATATTGTTAAACAGATTGATAAACTAATAGCAGATTTTATTTGAAACGGTAAAAAAGCAAAGATCAAAAGAGTATCTTTGATTGGTGACTTCACAAGGAGGTATTAAACTACCAGACTTCATATCGCAAGTAAAAGCCTTAAAATACGCATGGTACAAACGACTTCTTCATTCCGAAGAAGGTATTTGGAAAGTTATTCCAAGATGGTATCTTTCAAAGATTGGTCCTGATAACTTACTCTGTAGAATAACAAGTGTTGATATGTTAGATAAAAATACAAAGATAAAGATACCACAATTTTACAAAGACGTTTTACTCTCATTGTCAGAATTTAATGTTATAAATCAAAGTAATCCCATTAACTATAAAGATATTATCAAACAAAATATTTGGTGTAATTGTCTGATTAGTGTAGAATGAAATCCATCTGGTATCGACTCTGGATTCATGAACATTAACGATATTCTTATGGTTAATACATGGAAAAATTACCCGGAAATTGTTAGTAAACTTAAGGGTAATGCCAATTGAATGATTGAATATTTGAACATCTTAAATGCTATTCCAAAACATTGGAAAATTGTATTAATTCATATAAAGGAAATGCACTTGCCCTCGATACATTACAGCAAAATAATGTGCTTAAGACTGTCAAAAGAAAAATTGTTTATAATCACTTTGTATCAAATGTTTATGCTATTCCATCCTCTCAGAGCAGATGGGAAGATGATTTCAATGTTGATAACTGGTCAATTGCATGGAAGAACAAAATTCATTTAATTGATGAATTCAAAATTACTCAATTTAATCTAAAACTTTTACATAGAATTATCCCAACAAACCAGAAGCTATTTAAATGGAAAATAAAAGCAACTGATATTTGTACAGTTTGCAAAATTCGTGAAGATGATGAACATCTTTTTTTTCCCTGTATTGAAGTTAATACTTTTTGGAATAAAATCAATACTATTATGTCAAATTTTTGTAACATTGAAGTCAACTTTAAACTTATTATCTTGGGATGTCAAAATAGGCTTGCTAATTGGTTGATATCTATGGGGGCATTTAGCATTTACAAGAGAAAAATTCTATTAGAAAATTACCAGTGGGGTAGTAGATCTCTATTTGCTCTATTTATCGCCGAGATAAAATGGAGGATCAACTGCAATAAGATATTTTGATCTGTTGCATCCAGGGAATTTGGTGCCTTGATTTTCTGTATCACTGATGTAAAAAACCAATAAATTAACAATACAAATAAACAATATAATAGAAAATAAAATTTTTTTTAAATACTTAAAAATGTGAAAATATTAATGTTGAAAAAAATAAATAAATAATACATTTATTGATGATGTTCGGTCATTTTATTGAATTTGATTTGAATCTTGTGTTGTTTTGATGGAATGTTTTTTTTTTGTGATAAATAAAAGTGGTGGTTTCACTACAAAAGATTAAAAAAAATGTATTGTTTTTTAAAATTTCAAAGTAATACATATCCAACCCTAATTACGTGACACTTATTTTTTTTAAATTTTATCACAAGGTGCGACTTCAGTAGTATCAAAATATAAATAATTCATTTAAATTCATATTTTGACACCTTTTGAGCAACACGCCATAATTTTTCTCCCGAATCCTAAGAATGAATATTAGTATAGGTCTATGGCATGTGTTACTTTGTTGAATGAACTGAATATCAATTTTGACCCTTGCAATTTCATTTTTTTTTTCTTTTGTTATGAACTTCCATCTCAAAAGAAGATATAAACATGATGATGCCAATGCATCATGTGTACATTTGTGTATTTTGTGCAAATTTCTTTATTATTGTACACATAGCTAAATTTTCATGTTCTTGAATTTTTATATTGTAATTAATTGTCAAATTTTCATGACTTAGTTATGACAAAAATTTTTTTTCTGAATGTTAACGTGAACCACAGTCAGCACAATGTATGCGTGTATGAGAATGGAAAGAGAAAATTAAGATGGTCATATTAGGGTCTACTGCAATAGCTAAAACAATACAAATATATAGTGCACAAGTTACAGTATTAGATATCAGTTATTAAGTTATTCTGTGAAAAAAAAATAAATTGTCACAATTTTTTTTATATGCATGTGCTTTCAAACACACTTCTTTCTTTGGATTACCTACATAGCCAAGGAACAATCATCTTTGTTATTAGAAAAGAATTTAATTTTAAAATTTTAATCCAATTGCCTTTAAATTATTTCCACATTTTCCCACCTTTTCCTTTCAGCTTACTGAGTGCAGCTTAATAAATCCAGCATCCACTTAAAATGGTCAGCTAGCCTCATAATAAAAATCATAATGTTCTAATATTCTTTTTTTTCTCATTCTTTTTTGTTATTGTCCAGGTGGGACAGCACAAAACAATCCATCATGTAGTGGGACAAGATCTCAAAAGTGAACCTAATCACTATTGCACTAGCATGAGATCCTCAACTACCCAACCTTGCTTCACATAAATACAATGTTTTCAATAAAACAGGAAAAATGTTTTTTACAATATTACTTTCATTTTTTTGGTTGGTCGGTTCATATAGAAGATTATGGGTAGAAAATGGTAAATAAACGGAGAAACTATACTATATTTTTTTAAATTTGTTTTAGCCAGCGTTAGCACTACATACCTTGCTTGCCTTGACATTCTACCACTGATCAAGAGGTTTTTCCTTTTCTCCTTTTATTGAATTTCACTTTTGTGCAAGTAGTATTGCAACTACACTACATTATGAGTGGAAATACACCGTCTAATTTACGGCCAAATAGACCATGATTTAAGATGGAATGACCCTATAATTAGACTGGGTTCCAGTCCCTAATCTTTGTCTTAATCAGTTGAAATGCTTAAGAATAAATCGATTTTGGCACAAATGGCGTTCCATATTACTTATTTGCATGGCGTTCCATAGTATACTTTTTCTGGGATTAAAAAAGTTTCTCAACATAAACTGACGCTGGTGGCGCTTTCCGAAATGCGCTAATGTACTACGAAAAATCCATAAATTAGAGACTTGTGGCAAGTCTACCCTATAATATGCAAATTATTGCAAAAACCAGTATAATTAAAGCCCTATTTTTGGCAAAATTTCATTTTTTTGAAAATCTGATTTTTATATTAAAACATTACAAAGATTTATAAATATAATACAAAATTGCTTGTTTAACTGAATTTAGATATTCCTAAACATGAAAAAATGTAAAATAAGACTCAAATTTGTATTTTTGCGTTCCACATGTCAAAAAATAATCATGAATAAATTTTTCATTTTTGATTTTGCAATTAGTCTATAAAAATAATATATTAGTAGGCACAGGAAACATTTGCCTAGCAACACTACTAGGCTAGGCCTACACTTACCTCGATTTAAGTTCTGTTATTGGACATAAAAATCGGCCGACATGATATTTCTGTTGCTAGTGTTGACACTTGTGAAATATAATATTTTATGGAAACTTGTTTAAAAATGATTCCGACTGAGGTTTTGACAATAACAAACTTATCGCAGCAGGCCAACTTGATCGACCGCTATGTGCGACATGCGTAGTACAAAAACTAATCTCATTAGAGAGGGCACAATTTATTTATTGCTATCGAATCGGAGACGTAAACAGTTCGGTAAATCAGATTAATGCTTTTATTTAATAAATCGTGGGATGCATTAAAATATCTTATTAGAGTTCATGGCATTGGTAGGCAAGATAAAAAATAAAAAATCTGGCAGATTTGCAAAACAATTATTCTGTCTACCTCTGATACTGAAAACAAAATAATAAACTTGTTTAATGTAGCAGGTAACTGCTAACAAATAATAAATAATTAATATTTAATTTTATTTATTTAATTAAAACAGACAAATAAATAAAAATAATATAAAAGTGATAGGTATATACAACAAAAAATAATCTAAACTGTATGCTACCGTATGTAA